ACTTCCTGCACCAACGCTGAGAGGGCGGGGCTGACTATGTTGATACTCATTCAAACCGTTTCGCTTACGTGTGCACAGATTCGCGCGATCGATGCATATATAGTGCTTTCACGAATTCAATATCTGTTGGTTCGAAAACTGTGAATAATGCCTAAGCCTCAAGGCAGATGGACTTTACCGTGCATGGGAGTGGTTTGCTAGGACAGAGTGTGGTTCACTAGGACAGAAAGCGACTTTTTCGCGTTTCGCAGCGCGAAACATTTTTCGCTGCGGGAACCTCAGGTCCACCGCTGATCATCAGTGGACCCGAGGTTCCCGCAGCGAATGTTTCGCGCTATGTCCTGGGGCCGTAAGGTATGCTTCCCGCCTAACCTTTCGGGGAAGCATACCTTACGCCCCTGGTGAACTACACCGTGGTGCATGAACGGTTTGGCTCTCCCGAAGTTCTTCCTCGTCCCGTGGCACTTGTAAACTGCGAAGATTGGTGATCCAGCGATTTGCTGTGTTAATCGAGCCCTCTCACACATGGACACTATTACAGCGTCTCTGCTTCTTCCTGTCTTTTGCAAGGCTCAGATTAGTCATAACCAAAGCAGGTGCTTTATGATCTAGGCTCACGCGTTGGTTGGCTACAGTCCCCTAACCGTTCATCTCCTCTTTTAGGGTAGTGCTTACTGTGACTCGGAAAACCACCCCATGTCCCATCTAACTGACTTTACACCGAATCGCTCATAGCTCGCGAACTGGGCGATTAAGCGATTCGACAATTCGGCGATTATGCCTAAGGTTATGTCTAGGTTCACATTGTTCCGTTTGACCTCACTCTATGACCGTTCGTGGATACCATACATCAACTATTCTTCACTCGATACGTATTGATTCCTCGCAGCGTACCCGCTAAGTCGCATAATCGCATGAGTTACGAGCTGTGAGCGGCATCTGGTCATACTTTGCGATCTTACATCAGACATGTTTCATAGTTCTCGACTACGTGACTGCTTAAACATTCCTCCATGATCCGCGCATTTCTGGAGCACTGACGATTAGACAATGGCCGATGTCAGACTTTGCGATTGGAGCGATTTTGCACCAATTGCAGGAGCGACGGATCGCTTGAGCGATGCGAGCGACGGGAGATTTACCCCGCCGAATACCGATACACACGGCGCCGCTCGGGTAAATCTCCCGTCGCTCGCATCGCTTGAGCGATCCGTCGCTCCTGCAATTGGTGCAAAATCGCTCCAATCGCAAAGTCTGACATCGGCCAATGGCGCTAGCTCAGCCTCAAATCGCGAAAGCCGGAAAAGTTGTTTCTGTAATAGTAAAAGCCTCAAGGCGAGCCACATTTTAGGAGGAGTTCCAGGGTGTGAGTCAATACAGTGGTGACACACGTTGGTGTATGCGGGCTCTTTAATAGTCAGTTGTACAGTCGTTACGATCGTAAGGCTCGCTCGCATTGGATGCTTTCATGGTCGGTCGATTCTGTTCTCCCGTCTTTTCTCTCTGGCGCAAACTGTGAACAATGCTTTACGATTTCGTGATCTTACATTTTTTTCATGAAGCAAATACATACGATACGCATGCGATCGCGCGAACGCACGACCGCTTAATCGCAAAATCGCATAATCGGTATGTATCTGCTCCATATTCCAGGAGTGGTTCGCTATGATAGAAATGCGACTTGGTGCTCGCCATAAATGGGTTGGGGCGGGGCCCCCCGGCGGCGCGGGCGCGTCTTTTCATCATGCGTCCTCGTAGCTTAAGTCGCCTGATGGCCGTATTTTGAAACTGCGACGAAATAGTAGCTGCGCCTTGGACTAAGCCATGGAGAAGCGGACGAACATAGCGCCGCGCCGCCACGCGATCTCCCCAAACTCACTTAGCATCAGCGACTTTCCCGCGACTCGCACGCCGAAACACCTCTCGCTGTCTGCGAGGCCTCAGGTCCACTGATGATATTGCCTGCAGGAAGCCTCGGTTCACTGATGATAAAGGGCGACCTGTCCGGGCGCACACATAGTCGTCGTCCGACAGCAACGATCGTAAGTGTCGCACGATCAATACGCAGCTACTATTCCACACTACAATGGACTTTCGAAATACGATCACGCGCAGTCACGTGTTGTCTGGGTTTGCATTGGGTGACCGCGTCGCCTTCCATTTGCGACCGCGGTTTATGCGACACCTTGCGTCGTTGCTGTCGTCCGACAGCAACGATCGTTGCTGTCGGACGACCGACTATGCGTGCGGCCTCCTACATTGGGAAATGTTTCGCGCTGCGAACGCGAAAAAAGATTCGCCTCTGCCCGCACCGATACTCCAACTGCAAAGGGTGACCCGACTGGACGAAGGCGAATCAGTTGACTCCGCCTCATCCACATCGATGAAACAATCGATCCTTATTTTGTTGATCGGTTCGTATATAACTCTTTTCGCGGATCTACCCATTTCCGCTCCTTTGGTTTAGCGGATCTTTTCGGTTTTGTTTTTTTTTTGTGTTAGAGCTTGTCAGTTTCGCATTTCTCTGCCTGCAAAAAGATTCGATCATGCAGCAGGTCAGGGTATTAGGTTGTCATGCCAGTTTAGTAATGTGAATGAACAGATCGTGAGAAACAATCGTAATAATTCTGGTTCTGAATCGCTCTGATGTGTTATTTTGTCTGTTTTTTGACTCTGATCCAAGGTATAAATTAGGAACATTTGGGTGTAACGCTATTAGGCATAGTGGATCCAGACGCACAACACTGACTTTATCCTCTAGCAATAGAGCGATCCGCATCTTTAGTGCCGGAATGGTTTCGTCAGCATTGCTTGCCTTTAACGAAGGGATAGATTCAGTTACTTATTTTGAGTACCATATGTGTCTGTACTGTATATTATACGTCCCGGATTTTATAAAACTGAAAGGCCTGATAAATTAAGCGCAGGAATGGAGTTGTTACTATGTAGTGACAATGGTATTTGATTCATTTTACGGGCAAAATGCGCGGCATTTCGCTGGACAGTCCTTCACTTTCCGGTAGTACATCCATGGCTCAGCAATCCCTAACGGTCGCATTTCTGTCCTGTTTCTATTGTTTGAGTTACATACTTAGGATGCTATCACTAAATAAATTTTACAAATATCCGCTTCTTTCGTTAAAATCTGTGTCACAGGGTTTGATACTCGTTATTAATTCAGGTGTAGGGTATGGCCGAGACAAAAGATATTCCTCCTGGGTCGTACATGCTAGAACTCGGAAAAACATTCACTGATCAGCGGCGGACGATGGACCGTCCTACCACACTTTGCGATGTGAGAAGTAGTTTCAGCAGTATTAAGAAGAAGACCACAGCAAAATGAATCACGCCAACCAGGCTCCCAGACAATACCTAACCATTTGGGCGCGGCCGCGGCGAACGCGGCCGAGTTGATAGGTGCCCGCGAACTCAGCACAGCACAGTTCGCGGGCACCTCGAGTGCGTTTTCAACGGTTCGCGGGCACAATCGACTCGGCCGCGTTCGCCGCGGCCGCGCCCAAATGGTTAGGTATTGTCTGGGAGCCCGAGATCTACTTACTTACGGTGTTTAATGCTCTGATGTCTCTAGATGATTTCAAACCGATGTCGGTGGCGTCTTCGGATTCTGATACGTACATTGCTTTCGGAGCAAATGGTGATGTCCATGTGGGTGCTTTTTTGCATTGCGCTTGATTTTTTGTGCTCTTATTTTAGTATGGATTTTTATTTGTTACTTTCTTTCTTTTGAAAAGGCCAGTTAGGCTAGTGTCAGAGTCCACGATCCGTCGCAGGTTTCGCCGGATTTCGTTATTTTCGCGGTTTGCGCGACTTGCGCGATTTGCGCGACTTACGCGACGGGTCGCGGAGTCCACAAGTGCCTCGATCAATCCTGCAAGGTGTTCTCCAATCCTGCCGCCACTTCTGCTTGATAGTGATGGCTGACTGACGACTGCTCATGATTCCACTTGTTTTCATTCAGTGTTTCAAATGTTCAAATGGGGCACTTGCAATTTTTGCGATCCGTCGCAGGTTTGGCGAAAATCATGTTGATTAAGCAAATCGCGAAAATCAGGCGAAAACCTCTGACACCAACTTAGGCCGACGTCATACTTTGCGAATCGAGCGAATCGCTAGCGAATCGCTCGAGTCGAGCGAATCGCTAGCGAATCGCTCGAATCGCTAGCGAATCGAGCGAATCGCTAGCGAATCGCTCGAGTCGCGAAGTTATAACGTCGCATTATCCGGCCCGCGGCTCCCCCACTTTCTTCACGATTTGGGGCGCGGCCGCGGCAAACCCGGCCGAGTCGATAGTGCCCGCGAACTGTGTGGGTAAATTTGAAAACGCATCACCACCACAGTTCGCGGGCACTATCGACTCGTCCGCGCTCGCCGCGGCCGCGCCCCAAATCGTGAAGAAAGTGGGGGAGCCACTTAAACATCTGCACAAGTTGGTGGCGGAGAGTGGGCTCATAGTTTCTCTCAGATTTAGCTGTCTCCAATTTGTAGGTTGCTGTACCAACTGATGGCGAGAACATGACAGTGTTCAAAGGATCAAAGAAGGAAGCAAAAAGCTAAAGAATGCCTGCTGTTCTTCGACAAAAAAACTGGGAAGGTTCGACTGGAAAAAATAGCTTCCAATATTAATGTGAAGAAAACAAGGTTAGAAGGACAGTCAGTTTACGTTGTGCTAGTTCCCCTGATCTTACTAGTTACCCTTTCCGTGACTCCTTTTTCTGAACTTTGATTTCTTTCAGGGATTTGGACCCATCGACAGAAAGCGTTCTACGATCCGAAATGGCCCGTTTACGGACTGATCGCATTGAACGTCCACCTCCTCCTGAGCCAAGGTTATAATATATGTCCAGTTTTCGTGTAAAATTTGTTTGCATATTTACATATAATCACATATAGGGATACAGGTTATCGGGGAAAATATCGTATGTTTTAGCAGCTCTTCATTCCCAGGAGCTGATAGCAGCAGTTCTTCCGACTCTTCAAGTGATGATAGCGACAGCGACAGTGGATCCGATGATGAGGTTTGTTTTGTGTCATTAGGCGTATTGATCATTGAGAATAGGGTTTCGTGTTAAAACTTTTCTTTGCTGTGTAAACTACATACCATTTTCCATCTACACAGCAAAGTATTTCAATCTTCAATGCTTCGTCACCGATTTTATTGATTGATATCTGATTTACTTAAGTTATACAAAACTGGAGTTATACAAAACCAAGGCCGTGGAAATTAATCGTATACGATCATGCCATAGTTTTTGAGACACTGCTCAATGCTCCTTGCTATAGTCGACATCCTCAAACTCACATTCTGCGATCCTTCTACAAGGTGCGTCACGGCAAAAGATACTGGTGAAGAAAAGTACGTGAGAAATGGCGATGTGGGACCCTTAAAACCCCTTTTGTTTTTT